ACCAGTCCAAAGCTTTCTTTACTTCCTCACAGAGGGAACTTCCGGTCTCCAGTCCAGGAGAAAGTTGTACACCTGGTGAGAGTTGTTCTGAAACAGGATCTGCAGTTGTCTTTATGACCTTAACTCCACTTTCATCCCATGCTCAGCGATTCCCGATGCCTCAGTCCTAAGATGCTTTAAAGTTGGTTAGATAAACTGGGTGGCCTTTCGGTACTCTTTTAAAAGTCACCTGTCTCCACGATGCTCTGATGGTTACTGTCTACCACCATCCCAGTTTCCATAATTTTATTACAATGCCTCTCCCTCTCTCTTCTAGACAAATCCACCAGAAAACCACAAACAAAACCCTCTTTTGCTATTGCTTTAATGGTATTTTGGAAGCTAACACAAGTAAATATATTTAAGTAATCTTTGATTAGAACTCATTGATCCAATTTCTGAGGATAATCTATCTAGTGTGTCTAGAATAACGCCTACCTGAAAAGTATATTACAGAATTAATGATAATATGCTGAACTTGCTATATTTGCACTTTGCTTCTTTTTTTTCAAATTTAGTTTTTTATTGATTCTTTGTGGATTTCACATCATGCATCTCAACCTCTCTCATCTCCCCATCCCTTCCCATCTGCTCTCTACCCTTGCAGCACACCCCAAGATAAAACAAGATAACATTTAAAAAAAAGGGAAAAAGAAAAATCTTGTTGTGGAAGCTGTAGTGTGACACAGTGAGTCACACAGTTCTTTAGTCCATATATTGTTACTTTCAAGTGTTCATTGCAATGAGTCATTGGTCCGGTTTGAGGTCTCTGTTTTTTTCTGTATCATCAATACTGGGCCCTCATTGGGGCTCCTCTTGGATATCTTGTTGTTGTCCTGTGTCATGGAGATGCTGTAACTTTGGGTCTGCAGGATGGACCATCTCCTTCACATGCTCCAGCAGATCAAAGGTGGGGTAGATAATAGGATGGGCCAACTCATAGCTCTGGTTCTGGGTCTGGGTGGTTGCTGGGCTGGTCAGTCCATCAGCTCTCCTTCATCCTCAACACCAGGGTGAGCTCTGCAGTACTGCCCTGGCTAGCTTACTCTGTGTAGTAAGCAGCAGGGAGTGGGGCTGATTATCCTGCTTTCATGTCCTCAGGGACACCACCACAGCCAGCCCTACTTTGTTGCCTAGTGGAGATGTGAGGGCCACTTTACCTAGAACTGCAGTTGGTGAGAGGCAGGGCAAGCCTTCTTACTCTAGCGATCACAGGGGCAGCTCTCCCACCTACCACAGGCCTTGATGGGCCACAATATGGTAGACGAGGTGTGGGGCTTGGTCGCTCACACTCACATTTTCAGGTCCAGCTCACCCACACCTCCATCAATGGGGTCAACTCTACTATGTTGCCTAATTGAGGTGCAGGGCCCACTCTCCCTAGTTCTGCACCTGGTGCGGGGCAGGTTCATTTATCTCATCTACCACAGATGGCAAGGGGTGGGAGGGGGGAAGGTATCATTCCCGTTTCCTCATCACCACATGGCAGACAAGGGGTGCAGGGCCAGCTGTCCCACTCTCACAACCTTAGGACTGGCTCAATTGTGCCCCCACCAACAGGGTCAGCATTAGTAGGGTGCCCAGGTGAGGTGGTGCAGGGCCTGCTCTTCTGAGTGCTGTAGGTATCGAGGGGTGAGAGGCAAGAAGGGGCATCTCTTCCCCACTCATGCTGCTTGACAGATGGGAAGTGGGGTTAGCTTTCCCACATTTATGCCCCCAGAGTCTGCTCGCCTTCTCTATCACAAGTAGGGTCAGCTCTACTGAGTTGCCCAGGTGAGGTGCAGGGCCTGCTTTTCCCAGCACATGTTGACTGTTGTCATTATTCAAGTCTTATATAGGCAATTACATGGTTGATGTTTCATGGTGCAGCATCCTATTCATGTCTAGGAGACACTATCTAGTAGCAGGTGTTCAGGTCCTCTGGCTCTTAAAATCTTTTCTTCCCCCTTTCTGCAATGATTTTTGAGCTTCAGATATAAGGGTTGCAATATAAATGTTACAATTGGGGATGGGCACCCCATGGTCAGTTCTTTGTATTTTGATTAGTAGTAGATCTCTGTAGTAGCCTCCACCTGCTACAAAAAACAAAACCATGTAGTATAGGATGTAAAGCAATAACACTGAGTCATTATTGAACCCACAACATCAAAGTTTCTATTAGTCAAGAATTTCTGGGCAAAAGTTCCCAGAACTTGAGGATAAGACCCTATTGGAATACACACTTTGCAGCAGGACTTGATGGAATGATACTGGATCTGATCTGAAAGCCTCCTCTGAGGACTAACTCTCATTGTAGCCAAAGGCACTATGAAGGCTGCTAAGAGAGAAAAGCCATCAGTAGTTCTATCCAGTGGTATAGCCTACAACAAGAACTGAGAAACCACAATGACTGGCTTGGCAAGTGTCTTAGTTAAGATTTCTGTTGCTGCACTGAAAACTCTGAGACCAAAAAGCAAGTTGGGGAAGAAAGGGTTTATTTGGCTTACACTTACATATTGTTCATCATTAAAGGAAGTCCTGACAGGAACTCAAACAGGGAAGAAACTGGAGGCAGAAACTGATGCAGAGGCTATGGAGGGGAGCTGCTTATTGGCTTGCTTCCCATGGTTTGCTCAGCCTGCTTTCTTATAGAACCCAGGGCCACCAGCCCAAGGATGGCACCACCCACCATGGACTGGGACCTCCCCAGTCAAAAAATGCCTTACAGCCAGATCTTATGAGACATTTCCTCAAACAAAGTTTCTCCTTTCAGATAACTCTAGTTTGTGTGTCAAGTTGACATAAGACCAGCCAGCACAGCAAGATATTTCTCATGGTACAATAGTGGTACTCTTATCTTGAGGATAACCAACAGCCACCTAACTGGACTTAAGCCATGCTCAAAAGGAGGGAATTCATACCTGGTAGTATAAACTTAGCTAACTACCCATGGTTGGAGAGGGCATGGAACCTAGAGAAGAACCTACTAGTCCCATTTTTCTAAGGCAACATAACTTCTAACTGTATTCTAAACACATATGTCCAGAGGTAAGTATAGCTCTAACCCCTCATCAAAGAAGCTTTTTTTTTTTTTTTTCAACAGATGGGGACTATTATCGAGATCCACAACTGGTCAAAACACAGAGAATAAGTGACTGAGGTGTCTAACCCCAACTGATACATCTGCAACACAACATCTCTGTGTAATTAATGCTCTGGGAACATCATGGAAAAGGGGGCAGAAAGATTGTAAGGTCCAGAGGCCCAGGACATGTGCTGTTAGATAATGTCTCCTGACATGATGGAGAAAATACATCCATGAATTTTCAATAATGTGGTTGCCTGAATAAGACCAGCATAATGACAACAATACTTGACCTACCAATGTGGATAGGGGAAATTCCACATGGTCCCATCCCTAGTGAAGAGCTACTTAGGGTCAATGGTTACTGATAGAGGGAGAATCAGTTTCTCCTAGGGATGAAGAAACTGCATTGGCTGTTCAACTCCAAGTGCCCAGCACTGGATGCATATAATATGAGCAAAGCTAAATGGATGTAGTAGGTTATGTATTCATGTATATATATATATATATATATATATATATATATATATATATATATATATATATATATATATATATATGAAACAATAATTAAAGAAGAGGTCATAATTTTAAAGGGGGCATATAGGAGGAGCTGAGGGAGGAAAAGGAGGAGCAGAAGTAATATAGATGTAGTGTTTTATGAAGTCCCCCACAATAGTATTAAAATAAAAAACAGTAAAAAGGAAGTACATTTCTTTGATCATGCTTGGGTTATAGAGTATTCTTAAAATAATTCAATTATCTGTTTTTATAACCAATTATATAAAATTTAACACTCTACTTCCAGATCATTTCATAGATGTGATTTTTGTCTTCCAACTAAATTATAAGCAAATTAAATATAAGAATCATGATTTACACATCTATACTTTTCAGAGTTGTAAGCACTACATTGGACAGATACCTGTAATGTGTAAGTGTTTTGACTAATTTTAGCATATCTCTTTACCATCTGCATAATTTCTAATAAGTTTATTAAGGATTCTGGTTAGCTACGTTTTCATAATGGATATATTACTGCATATTAAATGTCTTAAAATTGTTCTTCAACTTTACATTAGGCCTCTTGAGTTTTTTTTAATCACTTAGTCTTAATGACTAACTCAGGCTGCTTGTGAGAGTAATGGCCCATTCATTCATTTAATCCTTTTCAATAATTGGTGCAGTTCATTGAACCCAATAGTTCAAATGCTGTGCTTGATGTGGCAAGTAAATGCATCTGAAGTAAGTATGACAGCCATTCAAGAGGCGGTTAGTGCACAGCAATGCTGCCATCTCCAGGATAATGACTAGTGGGAAGCCTGCTGGTGGCTAGGGGAATATGAAGAGGTAAGAATGAAACAGTGGAATAATAATTTGAACACTTAAAACCTCCTGCACGGGTCACCAAAGCATTTCCCATTGTAAGGGGATTTTGCTGAGTTCTGTCCGACTCCTTTAGAATGATGTGCACAAAGTTGGTCTGTTTTCAGGAGCAGGTAGGGAGCAGTCTTCAGATGGAAGCTTCTAGATCTGGAACTTACTAGACTGAGTTCATGTAAGATGAGAGAACTGTTCTCTCAAAGGTCTCATAATTAGGTAAGGCCAGAGGAGGAACAGAACCCACAATTCTGTATCCAGAATTAGAATCCCTAATTCTGTATGCCAAATGCAGCCACTGCCATGACTTAAGGTGTGAAACTGGGGCTTTTCAGATCTTTTGGGTTCCTGACTCCTAGATATAAAAGCTGTATTTGTCATCAACCACTTCAGAAAATTTTCAATCAATATCTTCATATGATAATTAAAAGTTTCTACTCCAATTAAAGATTAGAATTTATGAGAATGATATGAAAATCAGTATCTAGCTATTAAATGCCTTTTTCCCAGTGTACTGAAAAATATGGAATATGAATGCTTCACAAATTTGCATGTCATCCTTGAGCAAGCACCATGCTAATCTTTTTTTATCACTCCAACTTTAATATATGTACTGCTGAAGCAAACACTATACCATGATTTCTGAGATGAAGAGACAATTGATTATTCAAGAGTGCTGAATTGCAAGATAGTAAGGTTAGTTAAACTCCAGTGAGTCTCCTTAAGCTGGGAAGCAAATCAAAATATTAATAGCCAAAACTTATGAGTGGGGATAGAAGGAGAAATCATCTGATTAAAAAAAGCAAGATTTTCTTCTCTCCATGTACTAACATCTGGATTTATTCTCCCATCTTTAAATTGACATTGGTTCTCAGAGTCAATTAGTTAAATCTAAGATCTGATCTATGATAAATAACAGCACAAAGAAATATTATCAGAATGTGTGTCTTAGTTAGGGTTTCTATTTCTGTGAAGAGACACCATGACCAAGAAACTCTTATAAAGAAAAAATATTTAATTGGGGTGGCTTGCATTTTCAGAGGTTTAGTTTATTATCATTGTGGTGGGACATAGTGGTGTGCAGGCAAACATGGTATTGGCTACATCTTGAGCCACTAAGCCACTGGGCTTGGATTGAGCATATATGAGCTCTCAAAGCCCGACTCCACCGTGATACACTTCCTCCAACAAGGCCATAACTATTCTAACAAGGCCACATGTAATAAGGCCATTTTCTATGAGCTGATGAGTGTAATTACATTCAAACCTACCACAATATGCTTTCTATGTTTCTTCATCTTTCAGTTTTTCCCAATAGATAGTTTTAGTTTCTAATGCTTTATGAACAGCTATATTTAAAATCCTACAATTGAATGACAATGAAAACTGAATGGATGTAACATTATAAGTGTATCCAAGAATTGGGACTATATACTTTTTTTTTTCTTTTCTTTTTTTTTTTTTTTCTTCGAGACAGGGTTTCTTTGTGTAGCTTTGCGCCTTTCCTGGAACTCACTTGGTAGACCAGGCTGGCCTCGAACTCACAGAGATCCGCCTGCCTCTGCCTCCCGAGTGCTGGGGACTATATACTTACAAATAGAATATAAACATTTGTTTAAGAATAGAAACCTGAAAAAAAATGACATTTGAACATTAGCATAAGTATAGGTTAAACTTACATCTTGAGGGATTTTATTTAGAATATAAAACATTTAAAGAGATAATGAAACAGAAGAGAAAGTTTATTAATTTGAGTAATTGTATTTCATGAGAACTTGACTTGACAAATGGTGTAAGTAAAATACAAAATGCAAAGAAAGTGTAATAGTAAACTCTATTAAGTGGGACAAAATCAAAATTAAGAAAATACTCATAGAAGTGACTCATCAAATGATCTAATTGTCAACATCTGAGATGAGTATAATATAAAACAGGTTACAAGCATTCAAGAGTTTATTATGAGATAATCATGAGATATTATGATCAGTAGGCTCCCTGAGAAGAGAGCCAGCACTTCAGGAGGTTTTACTGTTGTTTGTGGTGGCCTGCCAGGTGTAGCTGATGAAAAAAAGAAGTGGTAGTTGGCTTTAATGTTAACTTGTTACAAATTAGAATCACCTGAGTTAGGATCCTCACCAGTTGATGCCAGTTCTTAGAAATGTCCTGGCTGCTGTGATTGACATGGGAAGATCCACCAAGAGTATGGGGAGCACTTTCTGCTAGCAGCCCCCATCCGAAGAACATGGCAGAGGGAAGAATATTCACTTTTGCTTGCTTGGCCTTCCCTCTTGCCTGCTTGGCTTCTACCTTTGCTGGCAAGTGCCTCCCCTGGTTCCCTGGACGATGGACTCTAATCTGTGAGATGTAACAGCCCTTTCCTCACTCAGTTGCTTCTGGTGTGGTTTTTGTTACAGCAACAGAGAAGTAAACTAGGAAAAGAAGTCAGGAATAAGTGGCCACCCACGACAAGACACCACTCTGGCCAGGATGATCCTTGTAACTGTTGGGAGTTTATAAAATACTGTCAATTCTGAGATGATGGGAGCCATTTTACAACTCTGAATTGTAAGGGTAACTGACACCAGTCTAATAATGCTTGCCCTTCAGGTGCACTCCTGCTTCAGAGACTCCATGGACTGTCTTCCCCTTTAGAAACTCAATTATCTTTGCCTCCATTTTTATATGTTTGTTCTTTTGGATTTTTCTTTGAACGATGGCAGCATCTTTCTCTTACCTCATTAATGAGCTAAAGATAATATATTTTTTTCTTTTGCTGTGTTGGGGATCAAATCCAAGGCTTTGTATATGCTGGACAAGTGCACTATCTCCAAAGAAAATCTTTACTATGAGGTTGCTTTGCTCTCTGTGTCAAAGTCACAATTAGAGTGATTTCTTTTGAAAAGTGTCCTCTAACATCACTTAGGAAACAAAATTTACTCTATACCCAATTAGTTGGAATGAGTGACCAGAACATCTATTTCAATGGCATGCTAAATCTTCCCACACTAATTAAACATATTCTTTGCTTAGTGAGCATGTTAAAGAAGCTTCTCCTCTAATTAGTTCCCCACTAATCAATCATTTTCAGTCTGATTGTCTTCTCTGTGGGAGGCAGGGAAGTAGGGCTTTTGCCTGTGTTTGCAACGAGGATTTGGTCTGCATGGCTGCTGCTTTTCTGTTCTTACATGGCTGATCGAATTATAGGAAGTACAGAACTGTCTGTTTACTCTCCCTGAGAGATCACATTTTATGTAGAATTATGAAGGTTCTCTTCCCTTTCGGATAGTGGGAAGAGTTTATGGTATGGCTTCAGTCAAGTAAGCAAATTGTCAGGCAATTTCTGAGTTCTTGGAAAGATGCTACACTGTGTAAGAAAATCCTTGCCTCAATGACTTTGCAGCCCAAGGGCCAAGAGGAATTAAAAGTGCAAGTCAATATAAATCAATAAAGACTAAATTGATGAATATTAAGGATGCAGTAAAAGTTCAGAGCAAGGAATAATCAGCATGAATTGGCATAGTCAGAAAAGGTTTTTCTGAAAGAGGTGGTGTGATAGTTTGAATGTAATTGGCTCCCATAAGCTCACAGGGGTGGCACTATTAGGAGGTGTGGCCTTGCTGGAGGAGGCTGGATGACACATGCCTTTAGCCTTTAATCCTGGCCTTGAGGCTGGAGGGCACACTTTTAATCTGGGCCACACCTTCTGTTGGAAGTGTGTCACTGTGGGGGCAGGATTTGAGATTCTTTTCTCAAGCTTCACTCAGTGTGACATCAGTCAACTTCCTGTTACTTCTGAGTCAAGATGTAGGACTCTCAGCTGCAGCATCACATCTGCCTACCTGCTGTAATGCTCCCCATCATTGACCATAGGTGGACTGAATCTCTGAAATTTTAAGCTGGTCACCTTCAATTAAATGTTTTCTTTGTAAGAGTTGCTATGGTTATGGTGTCTCTTCACAGCAATAAAAACCCAAACTAAGACAGATGGTCTGGATGTATTTGTACTCTGAAATTTGTATATTGAGACCTAACCCTAATGCAATGGTGTTAAGAGGCAAGCTTTAGAGGATTGTTAGGCCATGAGAGCCACAAGCAATCATGGATTGTGTTAGTACTCTTGTAAAAGAGGGTCCCTGTGGTGATTTCAAAGAAAGTGGCCCCCAAAGGGAGTGGCACTATTAGGAGGTGTGGCCTTACTAGAGGAAGTGTGTCACTGTGGAGATGGGCTTTGAGGTCTATTTTGTTCAATCTTCCCTGTGTGTGACAGTCAGTTGACTTCCTGTTGCCTGTAAGATGTAGCACTCTCAGCTCCTGCACCACATCTGCCTGCAGGCCGCCAAGCTCCTCATCCTGATGATAATGGACTGAACCTCTGAAACTGTAAGTGAGCCACCCCAATTACATGTTTCCTTTATAAGAGTTGCAATGGTCATGGTGTCTTTTCACAGTCGTAGAGAAACCCTAACTAAGGCAGGCCTACAGAGCTGCCTTTCCTGCTGTGTCGTGTGAGGACATAGAGAGCAGACACCACACACAAATCAGAAAGTGAACCTCACCAGGCATTAAAGCTGATGCTACCTTAAGTTTGAATTTCACAGCCTTCAGAAGTGTGAGAAATAAAGATCTACCTAACTCTGATTTGACCTCATCTCAGTTTACTTCTTACTATCAGTCACATGGCTCAGAGTATGTATTAGTTACTTTTTTGTTGCTGTGATAAAACACTGTGATTAAAAGCAACTCATGGAAGGAAGAGTTTGTTTTGTTTTACAGTTCCAGAGAGATAAGAGTCCGTCAAGATGTGGAGTCAGGGCAGTGAGTGGCAGGCACGGTGGCAGGAGCAGGAAGCTGAGAGCTCATATTCTCAACCACAAACACACGGCAGATGTCAAACTGGAAATGGGCCAAGGTTTTAAACTCCCAAAGGCCACCCCAGTGATGTAATACTTTCTCTCTCAAGGCTGCATCTTCCTTCCCATAACGTATCCAAACAGCTCCATCAGCAGGGGAGCAAGTGTTCAAATGTCCCAGCCAATAAGAACTTCTCATTCAAACATGCTCTTTTGTTATAGCAGCCTGAACAGACTAGGACAAAGATAAATGAGAATTAGATGTCTGTGTCAGAGCTGGTGACTTATAGAAATAGGGACTTTTAGCCTGGGATACATAGTTATACTTCAGGAGATCTCCAAAATTGTTCCCCAAAATGTAGACATACTTAGGTTTCTGCATTTTTTTTTCTCATGAAGGAATCCATAACTTTTGTCAGCTGCTTAAAGATGTGTGTGTGACTATCCAAAAGTAAAGAGGCAGCACTTAAATCTTTGTGCTCAGGAACAGGGGACCCTCAGGAAATTGCAAACGATTACAGTCAATTTCATCTCAACACGTAAAACAGTGATATACCAGATAGTTTGTGATGTATCTAAAGGAACAGGGATAAAAACGTTTGTACATTTGGATACACAAAGGAATCTAATATTTGCACATAAAATAGTTTCTGCTCTTAAACTGCACAAGAGTAAGTTTCTCAAAAAATAACCATCTTATAACTTAAAACATGTAAATTCTGTCTTTTAATGCTTGAACACTTCTATGTGCTTTTTAAGGCAGGATTTTGTTATGTT